TATAGGTTGTTCTCTGATCCACATGCAAGCCATGCATATATGTACCCAATATCTCTCTCTCTCTCTCTCTCTCTCTCTCTCTCTCTCTCTCTCTCACACACACACACACACACACACACACACACACACACACACACGTAATCACGTTTCCTCTCATTAAATGCGCATTCATTCAGGTCCATCCAGGCAAAAGTATTTGTAAGACACTGCAAAGGCAAAACAAGACATGTAAAAGAGAACAGTAAATTTTAGGTTGGGCCTGTTTTTCCTTTGTTTGCCTTCTCTACATCATCTTCTGTCTGTATGCATATGCAAATGTAAACAGTCATGCATACTGGACATTGAGCCCTGGGCCTTCAATGCCCCAGTCAACTGTTCTATCCGTGAGCTAACACCCAGCCCTCTTTTCTTCTTAATAAAAAAAAAAATATGAAATCAAAACTGAATAGCTACACAGAGCAAAGAATGAGCTGTGTTGGGTTCCCTGGAGGTTCTCTAACAGAAAGCAAAATTCAGGAAGTTGTTGCCAAGGACAACAACTCCCTGGAGTTAACGCTCCCTGGAGGGTTAACTGGATCTCCCACTCTTCAGTACTTCTTACTCTCTGGGACTCTGCTGCGCTCTTAGGTATGGCTTACTTTCTTCTGAGCGTCTCTGCGTCTCCCAACTCCTCATGCTCAAGCTCATAATCAACCATCTTTATTAAACCCCAACTTTGTTTAAAAAAATAAAAGTGGAAATAAATATTTATTTTCGGAGTTTTTAATAAAGCCAACATATTAAGAATTAAGAATAAACATTGAACTACAATCATGGAGAGGCAAATGGCTTCAAAGACATCCAGGGTTCACGGTATGTAGCCTGGCATTAAAAGGCCTAAAGATGGCTGCAGAGTTTTTAGTTAAGAGCACTCACTGCTCTTCCAGAGGACCCAAGTTTGGCTCCCAGCACGGATATGGCAGCTCACAGCCATTCATAACTCCAGATCCAGGGGATCCAGGACCCTATTCTCGCCTCCATGCATACCATGCATGCACACAATATACTTACCTACAGACAAGCAAAACACTCGTATGAATATAATAAAATACATCTCTTTAAAAAGATGCTTAAAGGAATGTTGTGCCAGCAGGATAAAGAGAAGTGTGTGTGGAAGGAGAACATCAGGGAGGTTGTGGGGAGGGGGTGACTCAAATGAAAGAGCTGAATGTGCAAAAGCTGGAAGCAAGACATCACAACGCTGCACAACCCACAGCTCATGGTGCAAAGCCTCCCAACTGGGCACTTCACCCTATAGAAAAGAGAAGAAAGACTCTGGCTTCCTTTCATCCTCCCTTTCTCCCCCAGCTACAGTAAATACCTAGAAATACCTTTCAGGCAGTTTTATATACCAAACAGGAAATCCGCCTGCCTCTGTCTTTGTGTATTTCCTGTCTCTGTGATAGAATACTTTGACAAAAGCAAACTAAGGGAGAGAGCGTGTTTTAGCTCCCAGTTCAAGGGTAAAGGACAAGATAGTTGTGAAGTCCTGGTGACGGGAGTTCGAGGCAGCAGGGACCTATGGATGCTGGCCTTTAGCTTTGTCCTTTTCATGTAATCTAGGAAGCAAGAGCCGAGAATGGTTCCACACATCTTTAGGGTAGGCCTTCTCACCTCAGTGAACCTAATCAATACAGTCCTTCACAGGTGTGGCCAGAGGCTAACCCAATCTAGACAATCATCCCTGGGGTTCTTAGATGTTGTCTTATGGGTAATCCTAGGTCTTGTCAAACTGACAATCAACATTCACCCCCAACTCCTTTGTGGAGCTCTGAGAGACCAGGAGAAGAAAGAAGTCCATGAGTGACGCAAACACAAAGCTAACAACTACTGTACAGGATAAGTACAACGAGAGAAATGCATAGGTGTGTGCAGAGACAACAGCATCAAAGGACACGGGACGATAAGCTCTGCCTTAGACTTCTTCAATAAGAAGCAGGTCCATGAGTGACGGCCTGTGGCTGTGTTCCATGACAGCAGACTCCTCAGAGCACCTGACTCTGATCTCCTGGGTTTACCCTATCTTTGTTCTCACTTCTCTGTGATAGGAATTGACGGTCACACCTCAATAACTGATGCCTATGCTGTCTCCTTGAATCAGAAGCTGCTGCCAGTGACAATCTGAAGATTTATCCCTCCAATTCCTTGTCTTCAGCTCCTATTCGCTGCTTCATCTACAAGGTCTACCTACGTGCTGGTTATTGCCACTAAGGCCCATTCACAACCATCACTATGTATGTCCTAGTGTCAGCCCCTGAAACTGAGGGCACACAATCCTCTTCAGTCTGCCTCCCAAAGAGAACTTACCCATACGAGCTCCAATGTCAATCCACTGGCCTATTCTGTTATGGGATAATCTGGTGTACATCAACAGCAGTAAATGGGAGGGGTGTCAATAATAAATCTCCATCTCTCATTATTATTCAGTTCTAATGGTACCCCAAACTTTCTCCTTGAGAAGGACTGAGATACTGTAAACATATCTATAATTCACATGTCTGTATGAAATGCCCGAGGAAACAGCTAAGCCATTCTAAAACAAAGCAAGAAAAAGGAAGACATTATAAAAGGACATTTATGATGGTGTAGTAAGATTCCTGGCAGAGGCTTAGAAGGGGAAGGTTTAAATGCCCCTTTCCATGTGGCTCAGTAAGTTTAATTCTATTGACTATTAGACAACTTTTAATTTCTGAAAAGATGTTGCAACAAACATCATCTGAACTGAGACTCCTCTTTATAAATAAACTCAAGAACAAAAAAAATAAATCTTTTCTCAGAGGTGGCTATCATGATGGCCACAAGAAACATAGAGATCACCATGGCGATGCCAGAGCCCTTGTGTTAAAGTGCCAGCTGCTCTAGCATCGCAGGAACTCTCTACTTACTAAGCTCTCAGATCTGAAAGTTTTTATCACAGATCAGCATCTCTCTAACACAAAGGGCAAAGTCAGATTAAAAAGCAAGGCAAGGAAGTAAAAACAAAGAAAAAGAGCTGATGAATTGTAAGTATAGTTTTACATCCCAGTTTGTGACTCATTTGAAGTTTTCACAGCCAGTACAATGTCTTGTCTTTAAGAAATGAAGGAAATAATTAAACAGTTTTTAAAAAGAACCCAAAATGTAGAAGAAAGGGAAAGAGATATAAAAATGACCTTAAGGCTAAGTTTGCAACATCCTTTAGGTATCAAGGTCCAGAAACTGGGAAAAGTTATGCTAGTTATTCAGAAGAAAGGTCCAGTCACACTTCCTACTAATGCCCAAAACACAGCCAATTCTGGGACCATGCCACTTGAGTGGGAGAAGCTGCTATTACTTCCCTGACCTTGGGACTGAGCAATCAGTCAGGGAATGAGAACACTCAAGGTCTGCTAATATGAGAGGGTTTGCACTTGAACTCACTCAGCTTTCACGTTCAAGTCCTTAACAACTATGCAAAGGACCCTAGGAAGAGACAAACAGCACAGCTGGTGAGGATTTCACAGGGAGAACGTAGGACATTCATGTGGGACCACTGAAGAGCCAACAGACATTAAAGATGCTTTGCTGAAGAGTGAGGCAAGAGCTGTGTGCACCAGAGGACAAAGTGAGAGGATATTATTCAGTTCTTGCTCTTGGCTCTAGATGGGAGATGGAATAACTGGCCCTTGCCAACACAGAAAGGTGCTACTCACCATAGGCAGAGGGCAGGGTCTGGTTCAGATATGGTGATGCTGTCATCCCTGAGGCAGCCTCTGCCCCTCCCCCAATAAGTGAAGCGAGTTAAGTGAAGCACTTATTTTGCAAATGCATTACAATACCAGTGCTGTAGAAATTCATAGCTCACAGGTCCAACATAAAGTACCGATTTTGTTCTCGCTGCTTTTTATCGGTATCAAAATCATCATCACCACCTAGTTACCTCTGAGAATGAAAATAATAAGGAATGAAATTTTTAAATTAAAATTATAGTATTTGGTTGAATACATGACTAAGGCTACTAGAGAGAAATGAGATGCTTTCCATCTGATACCTAGAATCCGAATGAAACAAAATGGCATGAACCACCCAACTCAGCTTCCTTCAACCCAAGACAACGTTGAACTGAAAACCGAGCTTTTAGTTCACATTTTCAACTTGGAAATCAATGTTGGGTGCATATTCTACTCCCCTTGCCCACTTCCTGGTAAAACCACCAGAATGTTCTATTGACTCCCAGGAGTCATTAACTCCCAAACATACTCTGGTTTGCATGGAACAAGGCACTATAGAAATAAAGCTCACCCTTTGAATAGTTCAGAAGAACATGTAGGGAAGAAGACACGAAATGAAACACAGAAAGTAATGCAAGATCATGCGTGCTGGTGCAAGTCCATAATCTCAGTCCTCTGGTGGCTGAGGCAGGAGGATAGTGAGTCCCATGCCACTCTGAGCAACATAAAAAGACACAAAACAAAGCTGATACTAATCAACATAAGGAGATTTTTAACATGGATATATACAAAGCTTGAAAGGAGCTGAGAAGCTAGAACACTGATTGGCTGTAAGTTCTAGGCACATCAATTAAGAAACTTCATAGAAAAATGAAAATAAAAAAAATATGGTACTGGCACACATGCCCAATATCAGCACTGAGCCAGAAACAGCTTGCCTATTCTCTGGCTTAAACAAATGTGTATCACTCTTTCAAATCACTACCTCACGGACCTGGTTATACATACATACCAGAAATGCCTGCACCTTCTTACAATCTTGATAAATCTTTAAAAATATTTTTTAAACTTTATTTAATTTAGACACTCACAAATAAATAACACCAGCCAAAATTAACCAGACACAAATTCTTTTTTTTTTTTTCAGGGCTCCAGCGAGCTTTATTGATGCTCACGTCAGCGCTACCAAAGGGTCTCCAGCAGTCACCATCCACGGCTTCTTCTCTGGGGACCATGTCCTCAATCTGGCCCTGTGACCTGGCTCTAGTCCCCATCCAGTGGTCTCAAAGGGACTTCAAAGCATGGCTACCAGTTTGAAGGTCCCCTCAGGTTTGGCAGGAACCACGTGGAAAAAAGTCTTGTAGAGCACAGCCCCCTTGGGCAGACTGGTGACCAGATCCACAGCTTCCGAGTTGTTGGGATTGGGCACGTAGACGTCTTTGGTGTAGCAGACTATCCCCTCCTCCAGGGCATAGAGGCACTTGTTCCTTCCGAGTCCCACATGGGCGCCTGGGTGCCATCGAAACTGCCGCTGAGTGCCAAGGATGTTCCCAGCATGAACATAGTGACCTTCTATTTTCTTGATGCCACAGTGTTTGCCTCGCGATTTCCCGCCCAAGTTCTTGGAGCTGCCACCTGTCTTCTTGGATGCATATCTGACTGCAAGAGCTGCAGCTGTCTTGGGGCTGAAAAGGGCTTCTGCCCTCGTCCTCAGGGCAAGCACTGCCGACGCCATGCTTGCTGCTTCCCCAGACACAAATTCTTAATCTTGATACCCCATTGCATAACAAATACCCAAAGTATTAATCTTGATAAATCCTATCACCTTTGGGAGTCAAATCCTTTGGAATTTGACCCAGGATTGACTGGCCCACCCCCGTGTGCTATCACCACCTCCTGTCATTAGCCCTTCCTACTAAAGGGTCACTCTTTCCCCTACTCTATACTACACCCCTGAAGCACAGGTGCTGTATTCAGCATGCTGGGATTCCTCCGGGGCTGGCAAACAGATGTTAAATGTTCATGGAATTCCTAGCTCTCCCTGAAGTCTTCTTTAACTCCTGCCCCATATATAATGGCTACTTTAATCCTGCAATGACAGTTTGCTCTACCTGTTGAACTGGGGCTCACAATTAAACTCCTATTAATTAGTGCATGCTGTCTTCTTCGATGATTCACTTTAAAAACAAACAAAACCACCAACAAAGAAGAATCAGAGGTTTCTGCTTTATGCTCAAGTGTTAGAAAAAAAAATACTCTTAACTGCAGAAGAGGCTGCCTGCTCTATGTCTTTCTAATAACCCATATGAAGGAGCTTGTGAAGCCTCTTAAGTGAAAAGGCATGTGAAAAGGTAAGAGTGAACTTGCTGTGTGCCACACTCCTCTTACAATTTCCCCTAGGATTACCATGTGTTTTTATAATTCAGACTACTCTTAAGGCTTATTTATAAGCCAGATCTGAAGAGAAAATACACAAGCTAAAATTTCACTCAATTTCCCTTGCACAACATTTTTGTTTCTCTTGAACCTTGAAAAGCAGTTTACAACAAACAAGTCACATCTCATAAATTAAGCAACTGGAGAAACTGAGAGGTGAATGATTGATGGCAGGTTTAACAGATGCCTCCACCTATCACGTGGGGTCATGGAATTCCAGTGCCCCACAAGCCTGTTAGACTGACTGTGAATGTATGAGAACTGTATCTCCTGTACATCTGAAATCAATGGTAATGTACTAATCATCCCCTCTGTATGCTGTGAATGCTTTATTATCATTGGTTAATAAAGAATCTGCTTTGTCCTATGGCAGGGCATGAAAACTAAACTGAATGCTGGGAGAAAGAAGGCAAAGTCAGAGAGACGCCATATAGCTGCCAAAGGAGACCCGCTGGGGAATCTTACTGGTAAACCACGGGCCTCATGGTAAAATATAAAATAATAGAAATGAATTAATTAAAATGTAAGAGCTAGCTAGAAATATGCTTAAGTTATTGGCAAAACAATATTATAATTAATATAGTTTCTGTGCAATTATTTCGGGCCTGGGCAGCCGGGAACCGAACAAGCAGTCTCTGCCTAAATGTTATTTTAGGCAAAGGTCAGTAATTTGAGAGAAAACTGTTCAATGGCTCAGAAATCAGAACAAAAAGGAATATGAGGAACATGGGAGAATTGTGTCTGGGGAAGAGAAGGATGTGGAATAACAATGGAATAACCAACTTTAGGAAGCGAAAGCTTTTTAGTTGAAAGCATCTTTTTTTTTCATTTTTATGAAACCACTGAGCATAAATTATAGTAAAGCAGAGTAGTTCTGGGGGGAGCTGCTGAGAGGACTAGAGAAAAATAAGTTTGCACAAGGTGAGATGGCAGTACCTCTGGGAAAGTCTTCTCATTGCTGTGTGTGTGTGTGTGTGTGTGTGTGTAGGTGGATGCATGTGTGTGCCTGTAATACAGCCTTGTGATATGACGGTCAGAGAATACCTTGTAGAAGTGGGTTCTCTCTTTCCAATTCTCATCTACCGTATGAATCCCAGAGATCAAACTCAGGGCACCAACCTTGGTACCCTGCTTCTTTACCGGCTGGGCCATCTTGTTGACCTCCTATGTGAGTCTCTAATGAAAGGAGAACCTATCATTTCAATGTGGCTGGAGAAATACCCAACTTGAAGGGAGGGGACTGGATAACACAAATGATTTATAGTGTTTTGATTAGTTATGCATTATCTTAGTTCAAAGATTCCATAGCTCATTCCACCTACTACTAATCTCTTCAAATTCAACCAAAGAACAAATTTAAAGAAAATATTTCTGAGATTTTCCAATTCATAGACAGCACCTAATCTATGGCCTTTAAGTAAAAATGCACATTTCCTTTGAAATCCACTGGACAACCTAAGTTGCCAAATCTACTGCATGCCTATGAAGTGCAAACGCTTCAAAGCGTGTCCAGTGCACAGAGGTCAGGTCTAGCCTCAGTCCACAGGAGAGAAGACAAACCCAGCATCACTACGGCAGAAGTGAGATGCAATACGCAACATCGTGAAGCCCAGATCGTCATGGAGAGAAGAAGGACCAAGCCAGTTGGGCTCTCAGGAGCTCTGAGCAGTCTGGAGCAAGAAAATTCCTAAGTAAATCAGCATTATAAACTTTATAAACAGAGACACAGATGAAGGACTGTCTGCATCATGCTTGAACAGAGAACGGCCTCATTTAATATGAGCAACCCTATCTGTATGGAGGACACGGGAGTACTTGAATGCTGTTTAGGATCATAAAACTGACTCAACACGTGAATCTCTATATGTGAAGCAAAAGATAATTATCCCTGTGGCAAAATTCATGTCCAATGATCATCTCACTCAAGTAGAGTGTTAGTGCATTAAGGTATAATTAATAAAACAGAATTCCTAATATTAAAAGTTATACTTTAAGCAATTAACTGAGAGATACTAAACAAATTATGGTAGTTTGAATAAAAATGGCCCTCATATTCCCATAGGGAGTGGCACTATTAGGGGGTGTGGCTTTGCTGGCGGAAGTGTAGCTTTATTGGAGGAAATGTGTTTCAGCTTTCTTTCTGCTGCCTGCTATTCCAGAAGTAGAACTCTCAGCTCAGCTCCTTCTCCAGCACCATGTCTACCTGCATGCTGTGAGGCTTCCCATCATGACAATAATGGACTAAACCTCTGAACTGTGAGTCAGCCCCAGTTAAACGTTTTCCTTTATAAGAGTTGCTGCAGCCTTTTTTTTTTTAGCACAGCAGTTAAACCCTAAGTAAGACACACAACTATAATGCATCCCACAAGAGAATTTTTTTTGTTTTTGTTTTGTTTTTGCCTAGGGAAAAGGAGATATAAGGATGAAGTGTAGCTTTGAGAGAATATTTACAAATGATGCCACTATAAGTATCGGACACTGAAAACCTTTCTAAACCAGAAGCAAAAAAAAAAAAAAAAAACTACTAATGCTGATTACTTTAAAAAAATATTGTGGTGTGCCTATCTAGACCTTAAAAGTGGCTATTTCTGCACAGAGGTGCTATGAAAGGGAAAAGGGGGAAGTAGGGGGCTTTAACCAGGAAGGGTAACAGAGAGGAAGAAAGATAAATAACACTAAACGGGTTTCAAAGAGTCATAGAGAGGTGTATTATTTTATCAACTTACTTTCCAAATGCACACGCAATCACACGCACACACACAGTTAAACGTAGGTGTGCCGCATGAGGTGTTGGTAACGTTTCCTCCAAAAGCCATAGACTATCTAACAAGACTCCTAGTGCCAAGCATGAAAAGCCTCCCTCTGAGTTGTTGGTAGGAAAGACCAAAAAATTCCCCAAATAATGCAAGCTATTGTCACTCTCCTTGGAATTCTGAAGGAATGCAGCTGGAACTGACATAGAAGCCTCCTCTCTGGGGACCCTCACAGGCTCGCAAGGTGTTATACAAGCTGCAGCAGGAGAGAAGCATTCAATACCCCTCCATAGCAGGAAAGTCTTTGAATCACAACAATGTCCAGCCAGGTAAGATATTCCCAGTGTGCAATAGGGACACTCATTTCTAGTGGGTAACGAGCAGCTGTCTAATTGGACTTACGTCCCTTTGAATAGGAGACAATTCATGGCTGGTACTGTGACCTAGCTAACCACCTGTGGCTAGAGAGGTCCCAAATCCTCCAGGAGAACCACTGCTGCCATTTTCCTAAACAGATGCAATTTCTAAACAATCTCCAATACTCTAATACCCACAGATAAGCATTGTTCTCATCCCTCACTAAAGACACTTATTTTTGCAACAGCTGGAAACTGTAAGAGAGATTAGCAACTGGCCAACATGCAGACAGCAAGTGAGAGTGGAATGCCCAACCCCAGGGGGTACGTCTACAACCCCCAGGGGGTATGTCTACAACCCCCAGGGGGTACATCTACAACCCAATTCTTGCACCTAAGGTCCTGGGAAAATCTTGAAAGAGAGAGCTGAAAGGCTGTATGAGCCAGAGGACCACAACAGCTGCTGAAAAATAGTGTCTTCTAGACATGGCAGGGAAGCGCCCATGAAATCTCAATAATATGGTTGCCTAAACAAGACTTCCATAATGAAATTTCCAGCCAGCATGCCAATGTAGACAGGGTAATCTCACAGGTCACACCCCTAGATGAAATCAATGTCTGCTGAGAGAGGGAGAATCACTTTTCTCCCAGGACAAGCTGGCTGATGGGTGATACAATCTTAAGTGGTCAGCCCTAAACACGTGCATATGAGTAAAACTAAATGAACACATTTATTCATATATGGTTATTTACCTGCATACACATGTATACTTGTATATGTGTGTTTAACAATAATAATCAAATAAATTCGTGAATTTGAGAAAGAGCTGGGAGAAGAGAGGAAAAATTAGATGGCGAGGGGTGGAAATGATATAAATAGAATACTCATGTATAAAAAATGAATAATAAAATAAAATAAAAACTGCTTCTGATATGCCTAAACCTTAAAACTAGCACTTGCTGCATTATGTATGGAACATTCTTGGGTGTATAAAAAGGGTGGTCCTGCAGCTTCAGCCTGGTCATGTGCTATCTGACTGGGCATAGGAATCCCCAGCATCTCCACTCTTGCATTTAGAGTGGAGACAATGACCCTGAACCTAACACCGCATTGTCAGGAATAAAAAGACTATCACAAAGGATCACTTGCCCCGAATAAATCCTCCCCCAAACAGCCACTGTTATTAGTAGTAGTCACAGCTCTTCCTTTTA